CCCCCTGGGTCTCCTGACAAGTCCCTGACCCGCGGCTGCATCTCTACCACCTGCTCGGGCTGACATTCACGGTTCTGAGGCTGGCAAAGACTTGGGTAGATTCTAGCCAACTCAAAATGCCACTTTGTTTTCTAGAGACACCATTTTCCTGTGTTTTAGACAGTCTTACCCTCTGTTACTGAAAAAAGGTCTGTGTGTGATTCAAGGTCAATTTACTGCACAAAGGACTTGGTTTCCTGTTATCAAGCCTAGACTTTCATCAGAATAAACATCCCCTCACTGCACGTCCTGTAAAGAAATAGAAGTAATATGAACAAAATATATCATGACATGCTTGTAAAAGAAACCGGTACCTTATATTTGCCTACCACATCCCCCTTCTCCCACTGGTAAGTGCTTTCTGGAAGTCCTCCAGGGCAGGTCTTGGGTGCTTTCTTGTAAATAGCAGCAACAGGCCTTGAACCTTGCTGAACTATGCTTAAGGGTGCAGCTTCTCCATAACAAAGATCCTCTCCTTAAAAAGGTGTTAAATGCAGAGCTAAACCGTTAGCTAATCGGACAAGAAAACATAAAGATGCTTGCACAGGGAATCGTCAGCCCTTCCGAAACAAACCAGGCAAAGTAAATGGGGACAGTTGTGTTATTTCTATTACAACAGGACCATACAATCATTCACTGTGTTGAATCCACGGATATTTCACACCTAGAGTGTCTTAATTCCTATTTTTCTAGGATACAAATGACAAACTCCACAGCAAGGTATCTAGAAGGTGTCACAAGGTGGCCAATCGATTCTGCATTAGAACAGTAGGTCACTGATGCTCCGGGAAATGCCATACAGGCATGTCTGGCACACAGATACCCAGGGCGGCGTTTCCTATGGAAAACTCCTGTGAGGCTTTGGAATCTCAGCCTCCGCTTAAAGGAAAGATATACGTGCCAACCTGACTTAAATTACCCTTGGAAACTGCTTATGGAAAATGTGCCAGCTCAGATGCAAATCCCTCTTACTTACCTCGTGATGACAACAAAAGCCTGATGAAATTTTACTCATCCATTAACAAAAAAGACTTTGCCCAGCGACACACGTGGGTGGGATTCCAGTAGGGTGACATTATGCTTTTGGCACAAGAATCTTGGCCCCCAAGAATGGCAACCCTGTCGCATGACAAATGCAGGCACTCCACTACAGCAGGCCACAGCCACATACTTTACCTGCTGACTCAAGAGGAAGAATGCAGAACCTACAAAAATTAAAGTTCCAGCCAAAATCCCGAGATGGTAATCTCAGGGAACAGTTCTTCAGGTAAAGATTTATGACTAGAACTATACTCCTGAAAATACTGGCTGATTTCTGATCGCATTTATAGCAAGGTGTATCCCCTGGTATCACTTCAGAAGTCCACTGAAGTAAAAGAGTGATCGCTTAGCTTATTTGAACAGTGCTACAACATGATTTTTGTATTACCCCACGGATAGAGGTCCCTCCAGGCTCCATTGAAATCAATGGTAAAACTCTTAACTCTCCTGTTTAAGTGCGAAAGAATCTTCGTCTCTCCTACTCCTGCATCGTGTTTCATTTCTTCTCTCTGCTCTCTTTCCAAAACTGAAAGCAGCAGCCGTCAGATCAGATGATTTCCTAGATCGCATGCGGCAGTGGAAATCCCGAAAGAATCCTCAGTTTTCAGGTGAAAAACGAATGCTGACACCTGTCCATAAGATTACTGCGCGGTACTAGGGGCTGGGGTTATTTTCTTGTTGAGGACAGTGTATTTAAGGATGTGGTTGAGACAATGCATTTTCCGTTTGACTTCAGTTTGACTTTCAGTTTGAAACAGAGATACTACTCTTCTTGTTAAACACTATCCCAGAAACAAGGAACGATTTTTAGAAGCGCCGCCAACCTGTTTGTGGCTCGGCAGGTTCAGGATATCCACATTACATCTATTAAAAAGCCTGTGGTCATGATAAACGAGAAAGGGTTCCCCTTCTTCACTGATTTTCTGAAAAACCCTATGAAGCATTCACTTTCTCCTTACAGAATGTTCCCAATATTCTGGTTTTTAAAGCGGCTTGTAATCTTAATTGCTGTTCGTATCTTTGGGAGATCAAAGGGAGGATGTCTGTGATTCTTTGTATTACTCACTGTTACATTAGCACAAAGATCACATATTCATTTATTTTGGTTTAAGAGGTAACAGTCTCCTTTCACTGCACGCACGTAATTACTGTAAGCATTCAGGGGACTTGCCAAATGATGCATGGGGGGAGGAGGAGAATCTTTGAAGAAAATTGTTCAAACGTAATTTAGTTCACTAATTGGCAAGGGACCGTTACTAACGAATTGCTTCTGTTTTATGTCAGTAGTGAATCAGGTTGATGATGTGTAACATACATTAAGTCAGTTAATGACTATTAACTAGAAATGCGACTGAAACACAAGAAAAAGTTTTTTTTTTTACCTTTAGCTAGCCAAGCAGAATTGCTAATAAATAAAAGGATATGTGTAAGTGGCTTATATGATTCCAATCTGCAGTGGAAAGACTTTTCTTAGAATCTGATGGTAACCACAAGTTTGTGGGAAAGAAAAATCAGATGCTTACTGTGGCAGTTCATCACAAGTTACTTTATTTCTAACCAAGCCTGAAATGAAAATGACTAAAAGTCATTACCGTAAAATAGCTGATTAGAAGCCAATGTGAACTGAGACAGTGAGTCTCTGGCCATGGCTACAAGACCAAGACATCGTGCAACCAACTAAGCTGTGGATTTACTTCGCGGTGTCTGTGTGCACACTCTTACTACGTGGTAACACAAGATAGCTTACTTCACTTCCATTGTGGGACAAGACACTTTGCATCTTCCAGCATGCACCAAGCAAGCTGGCGTGCCCCTAAGCCTTGTGGTATCACGCATGTAAGAGAAAGACTAACTTGTTTGAGTGGCCATAATCACAGACACGTTTGACTTTCTCCTATACGCATGACACAACACTACGAAGGCTTCGGGTGCAGGCAGGAGTGAGCAGGCTGAAGGAATACGGAAGCCACACGCTCTAGCAGTGCCAGGACAGAGCTTTCAGGTCAAGGCAGGTCCTGAGCTGTAGCTGTTCTGTGAAGAACGCAGGCCTCCCATGGATGTGCAGGCGTGACAGCAAATATCATTACAAAATCTGGGCAGAAGGAAGATTTCTGGTTTGCTCTGGCATGTGAACAAACTGGCTTATTAGGCCACAGGTGCAAAAATGAGAACACAGGACTGAAAGTGAGGATAAAATGAAGAACTCTCATGTTCTACATGTTTTGTGAAACAGGCATCAAGCCACAAAACCTGCCAGACACTGCTGCAGGCACAGGGACAGTCAGTGGTCTGTCTGCCTTGGGCCGAGTAAGGACAGCTGTGCTATTAGCATTAGGATTGCAATGCATTACTCAGCTACCTGGAGAGGGAGGTCGAATGAACATCTAGGGGTGTTCAGCTTCAGCATTATCCCTACCCAGTCAGACAGTCCTAGTCTGGCTTTCAGCTCTTTCAGGTGGCCAGCCACAGTAAAAGCACGAGAGAGGCATCAATCTCCACCCTTCATCCAGTCAAGGAAAGATCGCTGTTTCAGCAGTGAGGAAGATCCCTGATGTCTGGAGCCAACCTCAAGCATTGCCACAGCAGAAGACGTCACCATTTTAATGGTGATAGGGAACCTTGTGTGTCAAGCGACGGCGCTGGTGGCCGAAGTCCTTCAGTCAGATGCCTTAGATACTGTGGGTGAGATACTTGTCAAGTGATCCTCAGTGCTTTTTAGAGAGCTGTCTGATGTACACCACAAAAGAAAGACCCTACATCCAAACCCACTGCTGCTCTTCAAGTCCTGTCCTGAAATGTATTTGCTGCATATCTGAAATGTCAGGGATGCTGCTACACTACCGGGCGCTTTAGTCTGTTTACTCTAGTGCTTTTATTTCCGCATCACCGTAAGATCTAAACACTTCAGGCAATCAACATTACGTTGGGAAGAGAGCGTGCTACATTCCTTTCTTCACTGTTTCATATTTCAGTATCTCTTTTACGATGTGTATAAAGTAATGCAAAGGCTGCTCCCAGAACATCTTTTTTAAAATGTCTAAGACTATTTAAGACCATTTTGCTCTTCCCACTCCAGTAATAGCCATTAGGTCTTGACAGAGTGCCTGACAGGCAATCTACATGACACAAAGCACAGCACCTTTGCTCCAAGGGACACAGAATTTTTTTCTTTCCTTTTGCTGCTGTTGCTCTCCTTACCTGTATTTGCAACCACAAGGTACCTTTATTAAAGTTAGGTTTTAAATGTGGTGTATTTCAACACAATTTATATCGCACAACTGTCTAAGCCCCTTGCAACACGGTGGGTTGCTGTTTTAGAAATAAGCTGATAATACAGTCATAGCAACACTACTTGCAGAGTCAGAAAAAAAACATCCAGCACCAGCAGAAAATGTGTATAGATTACTTTATCTCTGTATTCAATACAGATAAAAACCCTTCTTTGGGGGGGGGGGAAAAAAAATCTATGCTCCGGAAACAGTAGATAGGATGAAGTTAAGCGTAATCTAGTGAATCATGAGACTTGTTGCTTGCTGAACCTCAGAGACTTCATCTTGAAATAGTGCCATTAAATATTGATGACATATTGATGGCAAAGGACAGTCTAGCACAGAAGAGGAAATTTAGCCGGGGGGGGGGGGAGCAGGGGGTTGTGAGAGAGAGAAACAGAGAGAAAGAAGCACACAGACACCATTCACATGAAATCATAAACCCTCAACTTTAGAACATCAAACAAGTGCTGTCAGTCAACGTCAGGACAATTATGGTGCTTGCTGTCTCTTCGCAATTCAAAGTTTGTACTAGAGAAACAAACATGCAGAAATACATGTGGTATGTAGAAGAGTTAAATATAGAAGAGCGTAAAGGTCTTTACTAGTCAGATGACAATGTAAACTCACACCTTCCAAATGTATTGTGTGTCAGAGTGAACACCATTTCCTGCCTTCCAGAAGCAGCTTCTCTGGTTCACTGACCTTCCTTTTCTTCTTGGGTCCTATTACCTCTTCCTGGCTAAATGCAAGGTTCAGGCAGTTTATCTGTAAGAACCATCAGAAACAGTGATCAGTCTCACGGTACAGACTCCTGCCAGACGAGTCAAGAAATACAACTTCCAAAACTACAGTGTGTTTTCCTGGATCCTCTTGGGTTTTTTTCACTGTGATCCTGTTCTCCAGAAAAGCAATTAGGCAAGGAATGAAAATAGGAATACTGGATGGAATTGGGACCGTAAGATTTGCGAATGCAACAGGTTTAGGTTCAGGGCCAATGAATGGTTTTGGTGGCACAAGGAACAGTACCTATATCCCCACTGCCAAAAGAAAACAACGAGGAGCAAGGAGACCTCTGAGAAATACAATAGCTTCTAGGGCATAGCCTTTTTCAACAACCTCAGATAATCATAGAAGTATGTAAAAGAAGGGGGGCACATGTCAAATTTGTGGTCACTGGAAACAGCCTTTCAGGACGAGCCATACAGTACCTCTATGTGTACATCGGGGAAATTCAACAAGAGTTGGTTGGTCTCAGAGTTCAGAGACTACCTGTGAGTCTGTGAAAAATAACTAAGCAAAGCAAGCTTTTTTCCAAGAGGCTTAACTTCCCTCTAGAAAGACACAAACCTCCCTCAAAAATATTCAGAGGCCTACAAACCAAAAGGTTAAAAAACACAGATAAATATATGTTAGAATATAAATGGGTCAATGGTACAGGCAGGTCAGACCACAGAGAGACGGACAGCCAGAACAACAGTTGAAGTGCTGGCTGTGCCAAGTGACAAACTCACTTATTCTCATTATCACATAAAATATTTGCATTTTTACAATAATAATCTGGAGCTGCAGAGAGTAACATGTGTTGCTGCCCACCCAGAAGGGACAAAGCACACAGTCTGGCAATGTAACCTCTCTGTTGCTCTCACTGGAACTGCGCTGAAGGGACACACCACAGCACACTGCTTCAACATTGCCTCCAAAAGAAAGTTCATTTGGATGAAAGTAAGGTGAATGAAGAGGGAAGAGAGTGCTGAGTTCCTGCTCCAAAACAGGAGTACTTTACTCCAGTTTCACCGCAGAACATGAGGAATCCTGTAACTGAAGCAGGATAAACACAAGGAGTTAAAGAGCTATTTCAGAATGCATCCTGGAGACAAGCACAAGGTCTCCAGATTACAAGATGTGGTCACTATAGAATTCCCCACTCACGTCATCAAGGCTTTCTTTCTAGCTGACCTTGGTATGAGGCTTCGGTAATCTCTACATAGCAATGGTCTTTCTAATGTGTGAAATAACTCTGATTATGGATTAACAGCAAAATAGTTTGAAACAACCTCATTTTGCCTCTCTATCGTGTTTCAAGTTGTTTTTCCTCCCCTCTTCCCTCCTCTTCATTATGAGCAACACAATATTGCTTAATGCAGAAAGTACAACTTCCTTTCCATAAAAACAAACAAGAATCTGCCGAAGTGGGACAGGCAGGGTCTCCTTCGTCCTGCACACTCAAGCTGACAAAAAAAAAAGAGTGATGAGTGGATCTCTGTGTTATAGCTCCTCACCTGATATCCAGCTGCTCAAACTGGCATTTTAGGCAGTTATTTACTTTTCTCTCCCTGGCATCGTTTTAACCTGTCCACTTCCTCTTTTGAAGTAAAGGGCCCAGAGGGGGGAAACACCGCATCCAAAAACTCTCCAGTGCTAACACAGCTGCAGGGTTTGTGCCCTGTCCTGCCAGCCACACAATAAAGCAAAGCGATGATCCCCAGTCTCCTGGCCCCCAGTCATCTGAATAAGGCAGCTCTCCCTCTGTTTTAGCCTAAACCGCGTAAAGAGAGCATCAGGTACAGTTGGTGCTTTTATCTCCTCTATTGAGGAATGGATCTTCTGCAGCACAGGCTACCACTCAGTAAAGTTTTTACCCCTTTGCTATTCCCTCCTACATTTTCTGCATGGATGAGATACTTTTGAGGCAGGAGAAATAGCCACAACGAGCAGCTGCTCACGCGGGGTCCACTCCAGTTCTCCGACAGTTTTCCTCCCCTTTACCACAGGCAGCCTAACAGGAACCTGAGAAGAGTAGAAACTTCTATGCAAGCCATCAAGTGCTCTAGACAAGCACTATTCATCCATTGAATGAATAAGATGTCAACTGTGTGAGGTATTTCACCAAAGCCAACATGTCCTGTCCTGCCCCTGCCCAGCTACAAGTTCACGTAGGAACTCAGCGCCAGGAACAGACCCCAAGTCCAACTTCCAGGTCCCATGCTTAACCAAACACTCATGCTTCTTCCCCAGAAATATTGCTCTAAAGTCAGATCCTACGTATGTTTATTTGACTTTAACTAGAATGTAAACCTCTTAAACGGTGTGGTGAAAAGCAGGAAATCCCTCCCATTGACTAACATACAATCAAAGCCTCCAGAAGTTGATTAGTTCTAATTTTTCCCATGTACTGGGATGCTTAACATAGAACGATAGAAGAGCTTGCGCGGTATGAATGTCGGGTTTTTATCTTACACAACCACCCCAGGCCCTCCGCTCCACTGATGAGCCAGGTGTTATAAAAGCATATAGGACAAGGCCCAGGCCCTGGTACGCTTACCCTGCAAAGGGACCATGCTGACAACGGGACAGGTGGGACAAGTCCATTCGAATAGCAAAGACAGGAACAGACCCGTGATCTCCTGACTCTGATTCCAAGGCGTAGTTCTGGGTCTAGGTCACACCATGAACACACAGTGAGTTTGAATCTGCTGTTCTACAATACTGCACTACGTGTAAAAAAGTAATATTGTGCCGCACAATTCTTCTGTAAAAATACAGCTAACTTGTGAATCATACAAGTGTTACTAATTTCTGGCATAAAACTAACAGGACAGCTGCACATTGTCTGGAGAAGATATCAGGCTAAAAATAGATTAGACTTAGATTAAAGCCTTCCCAAGGCAGACTGGTGGAAGAAACAGAATAAGCAGACCACAGCTACGCAGCTATTCTTAGATAGACAAAATCAGGACCTAGTTTTGTGCTCTGCAATTTTCAATCCCCAGTGTCCCCACGTATTCCGGCCAAAAATTCCCAGCATAAATCGAAGCAAATTTACAGCTCTTCTGACATGTGTTTTGCTTCCCAAGGCATCCTATGTAGAAAAGCTAAAATTGCACAAGAGCGTTCGGCTGTGTCCCTCTTTGTCCCTGGCCTGCCCCATGCTGAGGTTTGGCACTTGGCAAATTTTATGCCCTCAGAAGAGCTCCCTTTGTTAGGGACATGGAGTGTTTAGTTTGGTACCTTGTAACTATCCTGACAAATTCAGAAGCACATTAACATCAAAAGAAGTCCAGTTCCATCAAGTGAGCCAGAAGAATGAGGACTGAGATACAAGACTTAACTGCTGAAACATGGCAAAATGATCTGCAGGTGTCAGGGGACATCAACCATCATCAGAAAACTTTAATCAGAGTCAGTGCCTGATGTATCCTGCAGCTAACATTGACTTCATAGCACAGCAAACACTTGCCACTTTCAAAAATAAAGCCAGTGACTCTTTAAACTAAGACCTGAGGCATCCCTGGTGAACAGCCATTTCTCTCTGAAGCAATAATTCCCGTCTATTCATTGACAGTTGGCTGCTCACTGCTCTCCAAGCACAGCAAAAATGAAGGTTCACAAGGTACGCCATGGTGTCCAGTGAAAGGACAAGAGGAAATGGACACAAGCTGATATACAGGGAATTCCATTCAAACATAAGGACAAACTTTCTTTTTACTGTGAGAGCGATCAAATACTGGCACAAGTTGTCCAGAGAGGTTGTTGAAGTCTCCATCCCTGGAGATACTCAATACCTGACTGGACAAGGTCCTGAAAAATCTGCTCCACTTCACCCTGCTTTGAGCAGGTAGGTTGGACATGACGATCTCTAATTGTCCCTTCTGACCTCACCACAGTGATTTTGTGAAGGTGGCACAGTGGTTAAACGCTCGATGCAGGGCTCAGCACTGGACTCGTATTAGTTTCCAGCAAAGCAATCGCACTGACATCAGTGGAATTAATCCTGATTTTCATCTGTACAAGTGGAGGAGAATCATGCTGGTTAGCATGAAAGCCAATTTACGCAGGTGGAAGAATGAAAGACACTCACTGTGGTGCTTCTGTGGAAACTTGCCACGTTTTTGTCCCCAGGAAGCTATGCCAACACATCACTGACTACCACTAGTCCTCTTCCTTTTCCATAGCTCACTGTTAAAATCTCTGACATTCAACAAAACTTCTTTTTCGCAAACTGGAAGCCTCACAGGCCTACTCTGTACCTTGTGTATCTTGTACTGTTTAAAGGACTAATGGAAGATTTTTCCACAGTGTAAAAAAAAAAAATCTTCAAAAATACCTGATGAAAAAAAATTTTTCAAACCCTCTCCTTATAACCTCTTCCAGGGCCCTCAATCACACTGTATGCTGCTGTGCTGATTGTTCTCATGGCAGGATCACAATTCAATACGCCTCCCGAAACTGGAAGCCTTCCTCCTGTAAGATCACAGCGTTGTAATGGAGGAGGCGAAAAACAACGGACACTCCTTCTGCCTACTAGGCTGCTACCCAGCTTAGTCCCTCATGGGATATTACATCTGTCCAATCTTAATTTATGCAAACTTCTCTAGAGGGTCTGGTTGCTAGAATAGACGTTATGAACATATGTAAAGGCAGCCAGCACGGAAGCTCCACGTCTTCCCACGGGTGTCCCTGGGGTAGCTGTCAGGGAATCCGAGGGCACAAGGGTTAAATCTCCCCAGATCTGCGGGGTGGTGGGCCTCACTTCTAAATGAAGAGATCACTAGGAAACTGCTTCCTGCACACTAGACAGGGATAACTCATGCAAGGGATGAATGGCCCCAAGATACAGCTAAGGATCTGACGTGAATTGAGAGAAGCCAGGAATTTCCTGACCTCCCTGTCTCACTCCTCCCAGAATGGCCTGAGCTCACAGGAAGGAGAGAGGCAAGCTCATCTCTGAATCTTTCTCTCTTCATTGTTTGGGTCTGTGTAGACTC